CCGCCTAAGAAATCCTACCTTCTTGCTCATTTCCTGAACTTTGTCTCTGCGGTTTAATTTGTCTTGACTTCCAATATATGTTTGATCTAAGACATCATTTTCTGGCTTGGTCATCTTGCCACGCTATGCATGTGTATTGCAAACCATTTTTTTTTAAGATACTTGTTTATGTAATATTCATTAACAATTTGAAACTGTGGAAAACCGTTCCCAAAAGTGATAAGACCATATATTGTGGCTCCTATTCGATTTATTTATGTTAACTTTCTTCTTATTCATTTCATTTTAATTATTTTTGCACTTTATTATGATAAAATTAGGGATGAGCATATGGACCGAGGAACCGGCTGGAACCGGTTCCGGAACCGGAACCGGAACCCGATGAAACCGATCGGGCCGGGACCAATACTATAATTTCGTCAATTTTTTGAACCGGGACTCGGTAAGAACCGGTCGTTGTAATCGGCCCAAAACCGGGACCGGAGCGTATAACTCACTCAAATTTTGAAAGTTGCATAACTCACAAAATTTAACTTTTTTTGACCTGGATATTTTTCTACATGTAGACTATGATTTGTAGTTAAGTTTAGACTATAAAAACGTTGAATTTGTTTACGAAATTAAATGAGTTATAAGGAGGGGTGTCAAATCAGAATTTTTTTAATGTTTCAACAATTAAATGTAATATGATTTTGTTGTTCAAACGTGCATAACTCACTCAATTTAACTTCTTTTAACCTGAATCTTTTTCCTACATGTAGATTAGAATTTATAATTAAGCTTAAACTATAAAAACACTTGATTTAGTTAAAATTTGAATGAGTTACAAGTCACACAAGGAAGGGTCTCAAATTAGAATTTTTTTACGTTACATCAATTAAATGTAATCTGACTTTGTTGTTCAAATGTGCAAAACTCACTCAATTTAAGAGTTTTTTACCTGAATCTTTTTCCTACACATATTTAGGTTTTGTTGTTAACCTTAGACTATAAAAACGTTTGATTTGGTTAGAAATTTAATGAGTTACAAGTCATGCAAGGAAGCGTGTCAAATCAGACCAGTTTCAAAATCGAAAACCCGACAAAAACCAGACCCAGAACCAGAACCGGAACCGGAACTGGTAGAACCGTCGGGCCGGTTCAGTTCTTGATTTTGGCCAAAATCGGTTCCCGGGTCAAGGTGGTTGTGGCCATTTCGATCCTTTTGCTCATGCCCAGGTAAAATTACAAAAAAGGGTCCTTGTGTCTATTGTTTTGGTTGCATTTAGTTCAAACAGCCATAAGAGGTTATTTTTTATTTAATTTTTATTTTTTTGGATTTCATATTAAGCTTGAAATGAATATTTACACTTTAAATATATTAATTCCAGTTTTGGATTTTAATGATTTTAAATTAATACACATCTAAAGTAGAAGTGTTGTTCAGGTAAATTTTTCGGGTTTCGGGTAATTCGAGTTTCATGTTAAAAAATTACCTGTTACCCAACCCAAATTAAATTCGGGTAGTGGGTCAGTTTTGGATAATTTGGGTATTACCCGAGTTTTTTTTCTTTTTTTTAATGGCGCCTAAAACTAAATTTAATAAAATAAATATGTCATGCTTAAACTTTGAACATTGAGATTTTTTATTCAATAATATTTGAGATATCAAGTATTCATTTAACAACTTAATCAAATCTAATAAGAATAATAAAGGGAAAATGATATGAATGACAAAGGTTAAAAAATTAATATAAATATGAATTTTGATCACAAATCCATATAAATAATTATTTGCGCCAATGAAAACAAATAAACGAGTTATCAAAATAAGTTCATAGGAGAGTTGGAAATACAATATGTGAAATTTCATGAAAGAAGGGAGCTCATTTGTATTTCTAATAACCTTTAAGGTGAACAAAAAACTTTGTTCTCATTTGATTTGGAAATAATGAGGAAAAAAATATGCCATTTGGACGACTTGTCATTCTTCCATGTATATACACCATAATTTTGACCCAAAACCCTTCATTACATAATTTAATTTTACATACATACAACATATGATCCGAAGCGCAATTATTTAACAATGAAAACGATATTGAGAAGGCCAATCAGGAGATTCAAGCTGAAAGTAGTAAAATTCAAGAAGTTTAGAATGAATTGGAGGATTCATGATGTCACAGTATGTGTGGTTATGTATGTATATACATGCATGTGTATGTAGGTATCAACATGTAAGTATATGGGTGATTGGGGATGTCACAGTATGTGTGGTTAACTTTCTTCTTATTCGTTTCATTTTAATTATTTTTGCACTTTATTATGGTAAAATTACAAAAGAGGGTACTCGTGTCTATTGTTTTGGTTGCATTTAGTTAAAATAGTCATAGGATGTTATTTTTTATTTTATTTTTATTTTTTGGATTTGATATTAAACATGAAATGACTATTTACACTTTAAATATATATTGATTTCAGTTTTGGATTTTAATGATTTTAAATTAACACACATCTAAAGTAACTCAACCCCACCCTCATGTATCCCCCTCTTTTTCTGTTACCGACTCCTTTTTTCTATTAACGACCCCTCCGTCTTCTTTCTCTTTATCTCTTCCTTTATACTCGAGCCTTGTCTTCTCCAAACACCATCACTCGTCTTTGTTGACATTCAGGTACAAAGATTTCATATATTCATCACCACTAGTCACCACTCGAATGTAAATAGCTTCAATTGAATCCCCCCACAATTGTCTTCCCTACCCCTTTCGATCTTTTTCGGCATAAATATGTTTCATTCCAATAACCGCCAATGTTTTTATTTCTACTAATGTACCCATAAAATATACTCTCTCTCTCTCTCTCTCTCTCTCTCTCTCTTTGTGCTCTACATATCTTCCATAAATTGTTGGGTGACAACAAAACAAGTTAAACACTTCAAACAAATATCAAACAAGTTTTGGTGAAATTCACGAAAATAAAACTTCTGAAAAACGTAATCCAAAAAGAAACACAATATTTAATGTGGTTCAGTTAAGGTGACGTACGTCCACGGGCGAACGAGGGAGAGAGGATGTAATTAATTTTCTTGAACTATTACAAGCACTTAAAATTGTTCTCACTTTGAGCGCTCATAAAGTTATAGCGATTTACAATGATCGAGATATGAGTCTATTTATAGGCAATCATGGGAAACGCTAATTTTGATGGGCTAGGCCCATTCATAAATAACCCTTTAAGGTGATGCCCTAATTTCTAACCAATTACGGAATGTCGTGCAGGTGCTTCTAGAACCTTTAACTTCATGAGCATCAACTAGATACATGATGGAGCATCATGGGCCATGATGACGCATCATGAGCCAGCATGTCACATCATGATGATGCACCTGCTATGAAGATGGCACATCAGCCATACAGAACATCTTCCTTGACCATCTCTAACTTTCGAGGATCATAGAGGACTTCATAGTACATGTTACTCATCAAAGTGCACCCTGCACCAAGATGGTGTAGCTTTCTTAAAGATGGTCCATTTCATACAAGGATGGTGCAACTTCCTCCTATTTGGCGTAACATATAAATGTAGAAGAAAAAAATATAATATCTTCTTTCACCCAATAACCGGTTCCTACAATAGATGGAAGGTTAACAAGACTGATTTGTACAAGATGCATCAACAAAACTATAAATATCAAATTATTAAGGAACATGAAAATATAATATTAAGAGAACAATGGAAAGATACACAAAGTATTCATGATGTCTCACAGTGAACATGTTGCTTGCAGTTTAGCCCTCCAATCACCATATCCGTTGGAGGAATCACATACAACCCTGCTTTTACCTAGAGTATGTCTGTACCTGGAGTATGTCTGATTAATTCTCACTCCTAAATTAGAAATATATTTGTGAGAAATGAAATGATTCAACAATAGATAGAAAAATCTATAAGATCTAGTTCAAGCATTTCATTGAACACTAAGTGTGCATAATCAAACTTGTCACATTTAAAAAAAATATATCATTGATTTTTTTTCCTTATCCATAGTATCATTCAGTTTTTCAATCTAAGCTTCAAATACAAAGCTTCAAAATTTGAAGTAGAATTCATGGAAGAAATAATTGCTATCAAGAAGATTAATGTGAACTTGAAAATTACAAACCTTGAAATAACCACAACATTAATCAGTTGAACCTTTGGATTACATATAAAACACATACATGACTGCCTAGAGTAAAGCTTTCACTGAATCGATAGGTAAAAAGCTAGAACCAAATCGTATAAATAGATAGATTGGGAATTAGTTACTAACCTTGTGTACTTATTCAATCCTTTTATTAATCTTTGTTATGAGAACGTAATAAAATCAAGAACGATGGAGGTATATATAGACCATCGAATTTAAATTTGAAATTGATCATGTATTCTTGATTTCTTGCTAATGGAATCGAATTCAAACTATGTTGTTGATTTTTTGGAATAGCTACAATCGGTAACTGGGAAATTTATTCCTAATTTCCTTCTAATCATCATACACTACGAGAAAAAAGGCCTTTTACGACGCGCAAAATACGACGCTCATTGATCTATGTTACGCAAAGGAGAGTGACATTAGAAAAATGTCATCTCTTCAAAAAATTTAAGGATAGAAGACACGCATTATTGCGCGCCCTTAAATTAGTGTCTAAAAAAAACACGGAGGGCACCTATAATAAAATGTGCGTCGTCTAAGGATGTCGCTTTATATTTTTTAATGGAACGCGCGTTCCATCCTTTAATAGTGGGGGAAAGGGGGAAATGAAATTCTGAAAAAATTAAAAACCCCGCCATCCTCTCCTCTACCTTCTTTCAATCGTTCTTCTCTCTCTCTCTCTCTCTCTCTCTCTCTCCCTCACCGTTGTCGGTCCTCACAGGTCAGACGACCGCACCGCCACCATTAGACCCACTTACCACTCCAAATCGTCATTGTTGCTCCTCTCTTAAACCACTGCAACCACCCTTCTCTCTCTCTTTCTAAAATGCTCATTTATGACCACCATCACACCAGCCACTACACCATCACCATTAGCAATGCACACCGCACCACCACTACCGTTCCTCTTTCTCCATACGAAAAAACCCTAATTTGTATGTGCTTACAGGTTTTAAAAATTAAAATGAGAGTGCATTGAAATAGGTGACCTAAAAGATGAATGCACATGAAAATCCATCGTTGGAGGTAGGTTTTTCTCACTAATCTTTACTCTTCCTCAATGTTCTTTGAAAATTTACATTATATATTTCTCATCTGTACATGTACCAGAAGTTGTTTTCTATTTTCCGTTTAATTTCACCCAACTCGTTTCTTAAATGAGTTTTTTCCTAATCTTGTGGTCAATTTGTTTTCTATTTGGAATCACACCTGTTCATGTAGTTTTACAGAAGATGAAAACGACAACACCTGTAAATTGTAATTATACCCACAACGTCCCTGTTATCGTATTCTCATTTGGCCTAATTGGAAACCTATTCCATGAAATCAGCGAAATTGTGATCCCACTTTTCATCACAGCGAAATTGTTATCGTATTCTCATTTGATCTAATTGGAAACAATCTTTTCCTGATATTCTGACAAGTGCAATGTGTCTTGAGAAACCAATAATTTCCCCTGACTTACCAATAATCAAGAAATATGTAAGTCAACCTATCTCTATTACAAATTATCCTTTGACTTTTTTCAGTCAAACTTCTATTTGGGTGAAATTTATATGATCTTGTATTCTTTTTTTGTTTAAACCACTAATTGTATTTCTTAAACCTAATTATTGTTTTTTCCACAAAAACTTCAATAAGTTCTGATTCATATCGTTTTCGAAATCGAAAATAGTTTGTTTGACTTTGTAAGTCAATGTATGACAAATTAATGTCAAACTTCTATAGACTCATATCATTATTTTTGAAGTAGAAAAAAGTTTGTTTGACTTCAAAAGTCAAAGTATACAAACTAATAATTTCATAACACATTTCAGGTTAATCACGGGGTAAATGGGCTTCTTTTTCCAAAGGAAAACATAAAGGCGTTAACACAAATAACATTACAAGTGGTTTCCAAAGGAAAACTATCATCTCTAGCTACCAATATTGCATCAACCGGAGAAGACACTGCCAAAAACATGATGGCTTTGGATTCCATTGAAGGGTATGCTTCATTGATAGAAAACATCCTTCACCTTCCCTCGGAAGTTGCATCTCCAAGGGAAATATCGGAAATTCCCTCCGATATCAAAACAAAGTGGCAATGGCATCTTTTTGAAGCTATTGAAGATCGTGAATACGTAAATAGAACTTTGAGGATTCATCATTTGTTAGACAAAGTTGAAGTCAACGGAACCGTGCTCCAAGGGCAATTTCGGAAATTCCAACAAATGATTCCTTTATATACGATTTATGGGAAGAAGAAAAAAGAGACCAGATAATGAAAGCTAGAAGGGCAAGAGAAGACGATGAGGTAACGGGATGAAAATTGAAAAAAATCTCTTTTTCCTTATTTTGATTGATGTGAATTTACTTATTTGGCCTTTGTTATGTAGGTGAGAGATAAAAGTGAGCAACCAAGGGGGACATGGGAGGAAGTGTACAAAAATGCGAAAAAAACTGATAGAAATAAGAATGATTTGCATGAGAGGGATGATGGGGATCTTAAAAGAACAGGTCAACCGTTGTGCATCTATGAACCTTACTTTGGTCAACGATCTTGGTCTTTTCTCCACACTAATTCTCTTAATCGGGGGATTAGACTCGTAAGTAGTTTCTGACTTTTTTGACTTTTTCATTATGCATCTATGAAAACCCTTTTGGCTTTTTTGTCGATGTGTTTTTCATCAAAATTTTTTGGTCAAGTACAAAAGACCAAGATTTTCATTTCTGCACTCATATTAGTGTCAAATTCTGACTTTTGGAAACCATTTTTGTTCAAGGCATTGGCTTTTTCGAGTCAAACTTTGACTTTCTGGTCAATTCTTGATTTTTTAGTACAAAAAACAAGATTGCCACTTTTGAAACACCCTTTATTCATAAACGAACCAGGATCTAGTAATTTTTAACCTTACATTCATCAGGGTCGAACTTTGATTTTTAGTAGAAAAAACCAAGATTGCCATTTTTGAAATACCTTTTATTTATTCACATAAAAACCATGATGAAGTAAGTAAATACATAAACATTTATGATTTATGAATTGATAATGATGGTAAATGTTGTAGTCAACAAAAAGTGGAAGACCAAGAAGAGATGACATTGATGCAGCTTCTCGTCTCCCTCTTCTTGAAAGTAAACTTATATTTAACGATTATATTTTGTAAAATGCAAGAATCTTTTTGGGAATTTTAGGCAGGGGAGTGCTTAAAAAGAGAAAAGGACAGAGTGTCTCATTATCTTCATTCCAACAGTGAGCCAAAGCTTCTTGAGGTTTGTTTTATCATTTTTTATTTTAAAATTTTGGGAAAGGAAGTTATTTATTACTCAAATACAGGACCATGATTTGATCTTGTTCTTGTTCTGATCTTCAGTCTTCCTATAGTTTCTTCATTATTAATTTTTCTAGAATCTTTTCTAGGTAGAAAGAAGAAAGAAGAGAGACAGGAGAGAAGAGGTCGATCATTGTTGGAGCCGATCACCTCCATTGCCGAGAGATAGATTCATTGTAGAGAGTGAAGCAGGAAAAAGGACTCGGTGGTGCTAGGTCTTTGTGATCAGAAGAAAGAAGAAGAAGAAGAAAAAAAAACAACACAACTGTGTGACATGTTAGCAGGAAAGAAAGAAGAAAGAAGCAACAAGCGATCACTAGAAGTGCATGTGGGTATACTTGGTCTTTAAAGCATCCTAGTCTTAAGGAGTAGTTAGCTAGTTTGTAGACTGTTTTAGTTTGTTTCCATTGGATATGTACTACAGGCTATATATATAGCCTTTGTTTTCTGAATATGAGAAGTCAGTGTGCAGCAACTTTGAGTCCAAAGTACTTTCGTATCTCTATAATTGCTTTCTGCATACATATATATCTGTGTTGTGTGAGTGAGAAGGTTGGGACCTGTTCCAGGAGTCCTCACTAAGCTTTTTTTTTTATCTTTCAGGTCAGGCAGTCTCTAAGTTCTGTGCCAAGTATCTTCACCAGCAAGTCCTGAAGCAGGAAGCTTATGTTGCTGGTGATATTGGAACTGCTGCCCAGAAATCTTTTCTCAGGTTACTCTTCTATGTTATCTATTCACACTAACCAAATACATGGCTGTTTTAAATTGTCTGTTATCTGAAGAAATTGGTATCATTATGCAGAATGGATGAGATGATGTGTGGACAACGTGGCTGGAGAGAGTTGGCTATATTGGGAAATAAAATGGATCAATTCAGTGGCATGATAGAGGGACTAATTTGGTCACCAAAGGGTAACGATTTAAAATGTCTAAATGATAATTGGTCTAATGAGGAGGTACTTTCTTTCTTCCTTCATACACACCAAATATACTGATGTGTGGATGAAATGAGTTGTTTCAATGAATTGATGTATGTATGTAAGAGCTGTTAAAGGCATAACAATGAAGGGGGCATGAAATTTAACAAATTAGCTTTATTATAAATTTAAGTTGATTCTTAGTTAAAAAAAAAACAAGACTTAAGGAATGATTAGTTTGGATCCGATCCTCTCACCACTGTACTTATGAGGCTTTGTAATATTTTACTATTAATTTCTTGATTGTCTTCAATGTTGGTCCACTTTGCTTGGTTTTTAGTTAGTTCTTTGTTGATAGGATTATAGTACTCTTAGAAATTAAGATGGAGTATTAATTTGAATCTTTATATGGATTGAAGATCAAAAGGATTTGGGCTATTTTGTTTCATTTTTATTTGGTTATTCACTAATGGGATTAGTGTATTTTGTTTAGCTAATATGATTAAGGTCATTTTAATTATATGTTTTCTTTTAGTTTTTGAGTCAAATTTATTAATCATCATCCAACTTCAAATATGTTTGGTTTTTATTAATCATCATCCAACTTCAAATATGTTTGGTTTTTGAGTCAAATTTATTAATCATCTCCGCTATATTTGTTGTTAAAAGACAACAATACCCTTTGGTAGATGTTGAAGCACAATATAAAATATAACATGTATGTTTACTTTGAAGTTTATGCAGGTTTCTTGGACTTGCTCCTCTGAGAGGTTTCTTCACAATCTCTTGTTTCTGGTGTGCAACATCAACAACAATAATTTCTTCTCTTGGGCTAAAGAGATAATGACACATGCCAAGGTTATCTCTCTCTCTCTCTCTCTCTATCTCTCTCTCTCTCTCTCTCTCTCTCTCTCTCTTTCTCTCTGTATGTGTGTGTATACCTGCAGTTGCACATGTAGTTTGTGATCAACTGATTTCTTATAGGAATACAAGATGATGACTTGTCTTCCATCATTATCTCAAAAGGAAATACTTGTTAAGGTCTTTCAATCTGCTGGGACATACAACACCTATCCAGGCTGGATCCCTTTTACTTGTAGGCCCATTTCTTGATTACTGGTTAATAGAAAAAGAGAGTCAACTTGTTTAAATATGATATTTCCTCTATGGTGAGTAAGAGTATATTTATACAACTATAAACCAGTAATTGTTAACAGAATCATGGTTTTATCTGTGTAGGATTTCTTGGTGTTATTGATAGAGGATAAGGAATTGGTCGAAAATCCTATGATTGATGCTTGGTTGCTGAAGAATAGAAAAAGTCCCTGGGTTGGGAAGAAAGAAGGGTTACAGGGATGTTGGATCTTTTATTGAACTCACTCCTGATGCATCTGAAGTGGTAAGCCATTGTATCTAGTAGTTTTGGAGGAAACGAGACTCAAACAAAAAGCAAACACACGCAGAGTTGTTGGCAGATAGTAAGCTAGATAATGCAATTGTATATTCTGCTTCTCTTGAGTTCATTTTTTTATAACATTTACTCACTATTGGAATAATTATTTGTATTTGACATATTAGTGAAATGAATTATCTTTGTTATTTATGGTATTTTATTTGTATGACATTAAATTTTATGAAATGGATTATATTTTTTGTATATGATATTTTATTTTATATTGTGAGGCATTAAATGCAAATTTAATTTGAAAATTAGTAAATCTATAAAAAATAATTTTTTTTAACATTTAAAACTATGATACGAAAACATGCGTGTCATCTTCATTTATGACATGGCCTTTCTTGACAGAGGCTTTCTTGATACGCATTGCGTGTCATTAACACGCACGTCGTAAGGTTACGACACGCGAATGCGTATCGTCTTCCTTTATGACAGGGCCTTCCTTGATACGCATTGTGTGTCGTAAATGTGCGTCATGAATGCGCATCGTAAATGCGCGTCGTCTCTCTTTATGACAGGGCCTTCATTGACACGCATTTTCGCGTCGTCTGAGCGTTTTATGACGTGCAATGAGCGTCGTAAAAGGCCTTTTTTCTAGTAGTGATATTTGATATATTTGATTTTGGGAATGTGTTACAGAAAGATCTCTCATTTTCCTTCGGATGGATATTAATCTCAACTTCAATACTTCAAATCATTCAAAGTAAAACATAAGAAACATTAACAAATACTTAGAATTATCATAATCAAGCAGTAACGTTAAGAAATAGATATAGCCTAACAACAAAATACACTTTAAATACAAGCTTCGATGTTGATTATCAGCTTCGATGGAGATCAATTAAAGACCGGCTTTATATGATTCGATTTGGGAGATAATCTCGTAGTTAGTTTCTTTTGTGATTTGGAGAAAATCGTTGCTGATTTTGTGTGATCAAGTTGTCACCATCAGGTTGCGATAGCAGAATCCCATTCACCATGGATTGTGGGTTGGTTATACGAGAGAGCGGACATGAGTGAGAGGAAACGTTTTTGTTTTGCTAATTTCTAGGGTTTGATAAGGGATGCAACAATATTTATGGAAGATGATTGTTACAGGACACAAAATTGAAATTAACAATCAACTCCTTAATTCATGGTATCTTATCCGAAGAAAAAGAAGACGACATCAAAGTAAAATGAGCAGGAAAAAAAAAGAAATGGAAAACCTGGAAATTCAAATTGGTTTTTTGAGCGAGAAAATTACATGGGAGGGTGCTCAGTGACTGCCACATGGCACATTAGTACTTATTTATTAGGTTAGGGGATATGGAAATTTACTTTATTAACTAACGTAACTTAAGATTCTTTTATGAAATTCTTAACACAAAAACATGAGCGTTACATTTTTCTAAAGATTGGATTTATCTCAAGATGGAGTTTTGTTGAAGATGTATCAAAACCTACATTTTCTAAGACGTTGCATTATGCAACATTGTAGGTTCTAATTTGAATGCACCATTTCTTTTAATGGTGCATGGGTTTTACTGTGTGAGCCAATTCTTACCTAAAATATTAGTTGATTTATTGATTATCAAGTAGCACAATAGTTAGCAATGAAGAATCACTTATTTACCTGCTCATTGTGTTAATTCTTGTTGCTTGCTCGATGCACATCAATGAAAATAAAAGAAACGGTCCTTGGACCTTAGATTAAAAAAACAATAAAAAAGGGTTTTACCTATATGGCGGTGTGGTGGGTATTTACATAACAAAAATGGTGTAATGTGGAGGATGATGTGGAAAAAATTTAGTATGGATGAGGAAGTGACCTACATGCTCCAGCCTAAATAAATATGTTTAGATTCTATATTTGTTTGTTCTTTTCATTGCATCCTATCGACTCATATATATTATTCTCCCTATTAACAATTTTAAACCCATTCTAATTCTTTAATTTTGTTTATAAATGTTTCTAGCATGTGCCTTAGGCCCTGTTTCGTAGCCTCTTAATAGAAAAAATAAGAGGCAACCTCTTAATTTTTCAAATATAGACTGTTTGATTGCATATGAATTTATGCCTCTTAGTTAAAAAGATCCCTCTTAAACTTTCAGATGAAAAAGAAAGTCTGAAAAAGTAAATAGAACGTTCCCTTTTTGCCCAAATAATCCCATCTCCTGAAAGGGCTTCCACACATACATTATGTTCTTTGTGTGTATATTTTGTTTCTATTTCATTCCTCACATTACCATAATTAAACATTATGGTTCAAAAATCAATTTCAGTTTTCATTGGCATGCCCTCATTAGAGTTATACAATTTTATCGTTCACTAATACAAATTGTCTATTAGTGACAATTTCTAAAAACATGGAGGTGTCGGTTTTATATTTCTTATCACAAAAGGCCATACACTAATTTCCAATATTGTTTCCATGACAATTTACTCAAAACACGTCACCATCGCAAATCAAAGTTCGCATATTAACATCGATTTTATGTAAGAGTATTGACAGGTAGTACCACAGTCAGGACCTATCCTGAGGATTTAAATATCCTTGAATGTCATGGACGAGCTAGAAAAAAAGGATCGCTATTGCTATTTTAAGTAGTTTATATATATATATATATATATATATATATATATATATATATATATATATATATATATATATATATATATATATATAGGTTCAGGTTCATTTGAGACCATTCTAATTTTGTGAGACCGTGAAACCAAATCTAAAAATAATTTTAAAATGCAAAATAAATGGAAAAATCCAAAAATCCTTTTTTTAAATATTATTTTCGGAACATGAATTAACTAAAAAGAATAAAATAAATAAATAAAAACAAAAAATAAAAATAAATAAATAAAAACCCGTTTTTTTTAAATACGTGAAATATTCTAATAGAATATTATACTGACATATTCTAAAAAATAAATTTAAAATACAAAATAAATGGAAAAATCTAAAAATTCTTTTTTTTAAATATTGTTTTCGGAACTTGAATTAACTAAAAAAAATAAAAAAAATAAAAAAAAATCTCATTTTATTTGAAAAATACGTGAAATATTACACTGTACATATTCTAAAAAATAATTTTAAAATGCAAAATAAATGGAAAAATCTAAAAATTCTTTTTTTAAATATTCTTTTCGGAACTTGAATTAACTAAAAAAAATAAAAAAAAATCCTGTTTTTTTTGAAAAATACGTGAAATATTCTTGTAGAATATTACACTGTACATATTCTAAAAAATAATTTTAAAATGCAAAATAAATGGAAAAATCTAAAAATTCTTTTTTTAATTATTATTTTCAGAACTTGAATTAACTAAAAAAAATAAAAAAAAATCCCTTTTTTTTTAAAAAATACGTGAAATATTCTAATAGAATATTACACTGTACATATTCTAAAAAATAATTTTAAAATGAAAAATAAATGGAAAAATCGAAAAATTCTTTTTTTAAATATTATTTTCGGAACTTGAATTAACTAAAAAAAAAATAAAAATAAATAAAAAAGTAAAAAATTGCGTCTCACGGTCTTACAAAATATAGGTGGTCTCAAATGAACCTAACCCTATATATATATATATATATATATATATATACATATATATATATATATATATATATATATATATATATATACTTAGATAATATAATAAAGAAATTGATCCTCAAAAAAATTGGGCCATGTGCAACTGCCCACTTTGCCCTTCTCTTAGCATCCCCATGACCACGATAAAAAACAGTGTCCAAATGTAATTTTTATTAATGAGTTTTTTATTTGATATGTATCTTTACCTTATTAAGTGAGATTTAAAGAGTTATTTTATTTGATATGCATCTTTACCTTATTAAGTGAGATTTAAAGAGGTGACAAATTTTAATTTTAAGTGATTAATTCTAATATTAAAATTGGTCAGATGAAAAAACTCATGTCAAAGTAAAAAGTAGTCATAATATTATGATCTAAGAAGGTAGCAAAGGCGATTCATTATAAAACGACTGCTCTGTGGAGAATATCAAAATCAATTCCTGTTGATCTGCCCATATCATGTAACTAAATAATGAAATGTGTTTGAATTTTAAAGTTCGTCATTAACATAAGGCAAGTCAAACGAAAACAAATTTAAGAAAAAAAAATTACATTTTGGTCCCTGTATTATTTATTTCAGATGATTATATATTTTGATCTATATATTGAGCAAATAATATATATATATATATATATATATATATATATATATATATATATATATATATATATATATATATATATTAAAAATTGTGTGCCTTTCAATACCTTAATAAAATCATACATGCTCCTATGATTCTATACATTTGTTTCTTTCCATTTATGTTTTTCAAGTTAACATGATTCTTCATGAGGTTCTTAGGCTATACCCACCAGCAGTAGGACTAGGACGAATGACACATGTGGAAACCAAATTAGGGGACGTTAAATAACCAGCTAGAACTTTCCTCCATTTGCAAATTATGCTTATGCACCATGATCATGATATATTGGGTGCTAATGTGAGCGAGTTCAAGCCTAAAAGAATTTCTGAAGGTGTCTCGAAGGTGACCAAGGCACAAACATCATATCTCACTTTTAGTGGGGGACCATGAGTATGTCAAGGGTGATCCTAGCTAGGTGCCCGGTGTGGCACTGGCAACACCCAGCTTTCGTGCACGTAGTAGAAGCTTTCGTGCATGTAGTAGAATATAATTTTCGTTTTTTTTTTTTTTTTTAATTTTGACCTATTGTGCCACTACATAAAAAAAATCATGCAACTACTAAAAAAAATTTGTGCAACTACAAAAAAAAAGATTTGTCACTCTATCGGGAATTACCAAACAAAAATAAAATAAAAAACAAAAATTTTCTTTTATTTTTAAGATTGCAGAAAACTTTTCCTTACA